AATACACGTATCATTTAGATAATAACGACATGTTCAAACTGAGTGACTTGTTTCGTGATACCTAGACGGCGATTCAAAAGAATCTAGTTGCAATGAAACGATTTGATCAACTAATTGAGGACATCTTAGATGATGATGATTTGAGTCATACATTAGAAAATACCATACGCCTAGCTGAGACCACGTGTCACGATGTGACCCTCCTTCAAAGCGGTGGACAACTTCTATCGACATTAAGTACCTGCGCGAAGACCATTAAGTGAGATACATCAGAGGCATCAGGCTTTGACAAGACCGCAGCTGCTCTATCCGAAGCTGTTCAATCCGAACTTGAAGATAATGTTTTCTCGGGTATCTCAAACTTCTGGGATGTATTTTTTGAAGGAAAAGCTTGGTCCAAGCAGACTTCATGCATTTGGGAGTGTTACAAGATATATGAAGAGGCTGAATAATACAAAAGAACGATATCAGACCAGAAAATTATAACTTTGAAAGAGAAAATGACTGAGACACAAGTGTGGGAATGGCTTGATTTCTCCAGGGAGAAATTTTTGAATCAGCTAAATGGGCCCATAAAAGAACCATTGAAGAACTGCAAAGTCATCATAGAAACAAATGCGCCTCGACTGCGAGGGCAGTATTGCAACACCAAAGTTATGAAAAGCACGGTCAGTACGGCAGCTGACGCTCAAGCTGACTTCGTTATCCGAAGTGGCGAGCTATCTGAGGAGAAGCCAGAATGGGAGGACGTGAAAGTGGTCGCCGAGTTCGCGAAACAGTCCGATACAAGTGCAAGGAAAGCAAAATTCACCCAACTGTCTAGGTATGTGCGCGAAATATTTTGTGCACAGCCCTTGCGGCGATTTGTACATTGCTTTTTCTTGAAAACAAAATTTGAGCTCTGGGTATTTGATCGTACTGGAGCCTACAGCTCGGACTTAAAAAGCATTGTCAGCGAAAAAGAGATGTTCGTACGAGCAATAAGCTCGTATTTGCTAATGAGCGATGAAGAACTTAGCCTCGACTTGTCTATTAGTAAGGTCGGCGATAATTTATTTGTTACAATAAATGGAATTAATGGTGATCCCACCATCCAATTTAAGATCGACCCTGAGCCGATTGTTCGACCGCAGAGACTGATAACTAGAGGTACCACCTGCTTCGAAACCGTAGATAAATTATCAATGGTCAAGTATGGAAGGACAAGTGTAAAGGGGTGTTCGGAAATTGATTTTCTTAAAGTCGCACTTCCAGTACCCAGCGTTGTGAAATACATAACGTCGGATGAAGTCTATCGGACCAGTGAACACTTGGGAAACTTAGATTTTACCGATGCTGACGCTTGGAACTTGAAGACAGAAATTCTGATCATACCAAGGGCCACGTATCTGATGCAACCGACTGTGAGCCCATGGGACAGAGATCGCAAACTCATCAGGATTGCTATCACACCTTGTGGTCAACCCCTGAAGACCAGCAAGACGACTCTTGAATTTATTGTTGGAATTCGGGATGTAATCTTGGGCCACCGACGCCTATGTGATCGGGGAATTCTACACGGCGATATCTCGGAAGGCAACATTGTCTTAACATCACCAACTGCAGCTGATAAACCAAAGGGGATGTTGATTGATCTGGACCACTCCATCGGGCTGATCGAAAGTTTGAAAAAGGACGATGAACTGTCTCTAACAGGCACTATGAAATTCATGGCAATCGAGAGATTACAAGTTGCGGTAAAAAAGGAGCCTACAATCCAGCGCACTATTCGGCACGACTTGGAATCCTTCTTCTATGTATTCCTCGTAGGATGCATAGAATATGAAGTTGTTCCTGAGTCCAAATCAAGTAACCTTGACAGCTGGTGCACAAAAGATATAGCGAGTAACTACAAATCGAAGGTAGGTCATATAGGAGTTTTCGAAGTTTTAGTTTTATATGAATTCACACCCAGCTTTTTGGGCCTGAAGGATCTAGCAAGGAGCTTAAGAACGATTTTATTTGGTGCGAATGGCCAGAATTATACGACACCTTACGACTGTAGCTCTATGTATGAAGAAATCATTGGGGCGTTCAATGAAACTATCCAGCAGATTACAGGTAAGATGAATTTGCGATGAAGCAAGAGTGTAATTCCCCTTGACACAAGCCTCACTGGCAAATCTTCAATTACTCAGATCGATCAATCTTAAATAATACTTTCAAATCACGAAAACGATAGGGCATGGTATGAGTGGGTCACGGAAAAATATTTAATTATCTCTCCTATAAGCAGTGAGGTTACAATTGTTGTAATTAAGGGAGTAACATGACTGAATTACAATAAACTGTTCACATAAGAATAATGTGCACATGCGCCACGGGATATGATTGACCTAAATCATCACTCATTGGTATGACATAGTATTCCCCAATAGATTCCTAATGGTATCTATTGGCGCTAGGATCTCTCACATCCTTCCTTTCTCGGTTAGACAAGGACAGATGTTGGAACATCCACTAGTGTGCAGAACCCCCTTATTCATGTATATAGAAGAAGGTCCTGTCACATAGATAACAAAAAAGCAATTCATACAATAGGAAATTCAAACAATCTCCATATTATTCACACACTTGAGAATACTAGGGAATATCCTCAAGTTCGTCCATTGATCCAAGTCCTAAGAGTATAACTCACGAACTTTACTTCTCTTAAAGCCATAGCCACCTCCTTCCATACCTTCATCCTAACGGTACGTCATTCCAGCTCAGCATAGCCTTTCAACAACAATTTTGGTCATAGGGTTGGTCTTTGTATTCTATTGAATTTACCATCAGACGAGAATGTAGTTGTGAATGCTTTTAGAAATTAGAATTGAAAATATTAATTCAAGCCTGTTTGAAACTGTGAGATACTGCTGGAGTAGATTAGGTGTGCCGCCTAACCGTTTTTTTTTCTAGTATGTTTATGTGAAATAAAATTACGCCCTCATGGCTTCATGCGTACAATCACTGTAGAAGTGTAGGTCTTGAGCACCACAAACATATATATATATATATATATATAGTGCGTTATCCTGATTTGGCACCTTGAGGCCCATGCAGGTTTTTTATCGGAAGACATGTACTTCAAGTAGGATGATTCAATTTGGCGTTTAGAACACTCACACTCAGATTTCATTTGCAGATACCACTCGAGGTTCACCCTTACGGCGTATAACCTCTTCCGTGCATACCCACCAAAGGGAAAAGCGTGAAAAACCTGTGGCTATCCGAGTGTGCTGTCATCATCCCACAAGTACGATATCACCGCGAGAGAGAGTTGTGTGTGGGTCTGACTGGATTCGAACCAGCTTTCTCCTGTCTCGAATGGGGTAGGTGTTCAAGCTACCCAGTATCTACTTGGGAGCACGGCCCGAATGATTTACCACTGCACCATCCGACCCCATCCTAAACAGATAGTTGTACAGAGAGAGAGAGGGGTAATTTAATTGCACTGCTTGAGTCTTAGACTATCTAGCACATTGGGCTTCTCTCTGGCATAGGCAAAACCTTTTTTTAAATTCATATTGTATTCATCTATTACCAGGTCACACCTTGTACAGTGCTCCTTGCCTATTTTGTTACTTGTAGGATCATTGATATATTGCCCGTGATGAATATACATTCAGCTCAGTGATTACCTGTGAAATCTTCTACCCCCATAAAAAAAGCTATCAATGGAAGCTGCGTGCGCGGTAAAAGTCTCATAAAAACTATAGCCCCAGTCATGCGAGGCCTAGACACCGGGACCACATGAGGCGCGCATATTCATCTATATCTTCTCCCTTTGTAACATTCAAGGCCGACTTGATCCAATCCACCATCTCCGTATCGGGTGCTGGGTACGCTCCGGAAACTCATCGGATGGCTTTTCCTCCATGATCAAGGGTTGGTGATGAGCAGGGCTCCGAACCTACCACCTGATCTGATCGTGGTTAGCTTCATGATAATGGTAGGGGGGGTGTTCTTAGGGATGAAGACGATACAGACTGCGAAAGGGATTGGGAATCCTCATCGAAGTGAGGACTTTGTCACTCAATCTCGGCTCTGCAGGCTCTACAGTGAGAGCTGGAGGTTCGTTGGGGACATCACTGACAGATGTTGAGAATAGTCCCCATTTAACGTATAGTTAAGTCTTTTAAATATTCCTTGATTAATCAACGATGAACTCTCATTCAGCAGTGATGTTCTAAATCCTGAGAACAAAATATCTGAGTATAACCCACTTTGAACTGATGATCATTTTGTCTGTTGTAGCTCAGGTGCATCGGAATACGTGTAGGGATAGTAGTCATCATGCTCCCTCCCGGGGTAGAGGTGTTGCTGTAGCTAAAGCCCAACGGACCTCGACACCAAATAAAAAATTTTGAAGAAAAATTTTTGGATGGCCACAAACTAGGCTAAGTACCTGATCAAAGTGAAGAGAGAACAGTGGAAACAATTTTCCGTTGAAATTAGATTGGCCAGCATTATCTATCCTGTAGTCTGTCACATACATCTTCGCAAAGAGCTCACTATCAATTAACATTATGCGATAATTCGCCTACAAAGTGGCACGTGCCATTTTCCAAGAATGAATTGGAAAACTAGGGATAGGCTAGTGTTGCGCTAGACAATTTTGACACATAGAAGTTGCGGTGGCTTCGATGTCTTTGCACACCAGCTTTTCGTCTACGGTACCTTTGTCAATCTACCATACCGGTGTAGTCACAAGCCCAGCCTCAAAAGTGCGCCCTTTCTGATTCATTCTTGCCCTTGATTAGCAGATCAATTTCGGTGTTCTGAATTAAGCTGCTCGTATTTTTGTACCTCAGCATCCCTACTCAGACGCCTCTTCCAACGATCGAGCTACGACTGGATCAAGGTCTTTCTACAACATTAAAAAAGGCATCAAACTCTTGTACCGACCACAAAAGAGAGGCACTCTCACTTTTTCACGTCTCAACAATTTCGTAGAACTCCTGTGGCTTTTAATAGTCATGGATAGTACGACGCAATTTGCTTACAGGACGCTCAAGGGGATTGGTCTAGTGAACGCTGCTCCGGTATACCAGTCTTTACCTGGATTTAAAAGACCTGAAGGTAACAGCCGGTGCTGTGTCTACTCGCCTTGTGGTCAATACTTTGGCTGGGCTTCGACCGAAGGTGTCACTGTCGTTGATTCTTTTGATGGAAATGTGATAACTACTCTCAATATCCCTAATGTCTACGAGCTCGGATTTTCACCCAGAGGATCATACCTAATCACATGGGAGCGACCATCAAAAGACGAAGAGGGAAATGCTGTTAAGAATCTCAAGGTCTGGCGGACTGTAGAGGAAGTACCGGAAGGTTGCGAGAAGACAGTTGTTGGTCGCTTTGTGCAGAAATCCCAGACAGGCTGGAATCTTCAATATACTTCCGATGAAAAGTACTGTGCTCGTGTTGTAACCAACGAGGTTCATTTCTATGAGAGCGTTGATTTAGGAACTGTTTGGACTAAGCTGAGGTCAGAGGGCGTCGCCGATTTCGCTGTATCACCTGGAATCAGTCATTCTGTCGCTATTTTCGTTCCAGAACGTAAAGTAGGTAACTTTATGATAGGCATTAGGATTTGCTAACAAAGCAAAAGGGTCAACCAGCTGCAGTGAAAATTTTCGATGTGCCTCAATTTAGTGCACCATTGTCACAGAAGACTTTTTTTAAGGGTGATAAAGTACAACTCAAATGGAATCAGCATGGTACCACACTAGTGGTCCTCGCACAGACCGAAGTTGATAAAACTGGTAAGAGTTATTATGGCGAAACAACTCTATATGTATTAAGCTCGAATGGTGGTTTTGATTCCAGGATAACTCTCGACAAAGAGGGACCAATCCATGATGTTTCATGGTCGCCAAACTCGAAGGAATTTGGAGTCATCTACGGATATATGCCAGCTAAAACAACAATCTTCAATTCAAGGGCTATAGCCACTCACTCGTTTCCATTGTCTCCTAGAAACACAATCATATTTTCGCCAACTGGCCGGTTTGTGTTGGTCGCTGGGTTTGGAAACTTGGCTGGTCAGATGGATGTTTATGACTTGGAGAAAGACTATAGAAAGGTATGTACAATTGAAGGCGGAAATCCAAGTGTCTGTGAATGGAGTCCTGATAGTAAGTACATCTTGACTGCCACAACCAGCCCTCGATTGCGTGTCGATAATGGCATTCGCTTGTGGCATGTTGGGGGCAGCGTTATGTATAATGAGGACATGGAAGAGTTATATCATGTCACATGGAGGCCACAGCGAAGTGAAAATTTCCCGATTACAGATCTTCTCAGTCCAGTCCCTACCCCTCATGCTTCTGCTTTAGCATATCTCGGTACTGTCAAGGTGTCATCCAAACCAGCTGGTGCCTACAGACCTCCGGGAGCAAGGGGAACTGTCACGCCGCTTCACTTCAAACGTGAAGATGAAGGTGGAGCTGCCTACGTCGTTAGCAATGGCTCAATGCACACAAATGTAAATGGATTTGGTAGAAGTCGTCGAAGCATACCTGGTGCTGAGACAATTGAGAATTTTCATCCTGGTGCCGCAATAGCAGCCGGCGCTGAAGGGGACGAGAATCTTTCAAAGACAGCACTTAAGAATAAAAAGAAGCGTGAAGCCAAAAAGGCGAAGGAGGCTGAGGCAAAAATCTCTGGATTACTCCCCAGTGGTATCGACGAGTCGATCGAGAATCCGTCCTTTGAGCGTCGTGATCGTCGTGAACATGTGCGCAGCTCTTCCAAAAACCAACAAGATTATCTCGCAGGCTCTATGCACCGCCAAAGAAACCACGTAAACCAAATTGGGCCTCCTCGATCAACACAAAACCACCATCATAATGCACCTGCTCAACAAGTTCAAATCAACAACTTTGTTGACACACAAACTGTTCCCAGCATGCTATCTCCTGACATTAATAACTCCGATAGCGTCAGCCAGCACTCTAAAAAGCTTCGTGCTCTTCAGAAAAAAATGCGTGCCATTGAGGATCTGGAGATGCGTTTGGCAGGCGGGGAAAAGCTGGAGGATACACAACTGAAGAAAATTGGTACAAAAGCGCAGGTCCAGGCTGAGCTTTTGATAATGCACAAGGAGTAGGAACAAATTGATGCCGTACCCTCACTACTAAAATAGTTGCTTATAACAACACAGATCTTGTCACCGATAACCAAGGGAAATAATTTTATTATGACCCAAGGTTTCATCCATGCCTGTCATGAGGCGATCAATTTTTCAAGAGCTGCGAACAAAGAAATTGCATTACTGTCTATCTCCCTACTAATTCTGACATCAAATTGGATTCTGCTTGAAGCGGGCGAGACTGCACATGCTCGTGTACTTATTCAGTTGGACTATTTAATGGTATAAATACTGTAGATGGAAAGATAATCTGAAGAATATAGATAGTAAGATGAGCTTTTCAATACTATGTAGCACGTAACTGGATGTTCAGTGCCCGCCACATTTCACTTGTTTTCACTCGCATCCCAGCTAGGGTACCGGTCACGAAGCAGAAGCATAGATTGGACTGGAACCACATATTGTAGAATATTATCAAAATCTTCTGGCAAAGGATATTTTTGTTAATAGATTCACAAAGGAAAAAAGAGGTAAAGACATCAAATATTCTGTGCAAGGTCCGTGGAAATAAGAGACTGTTGTGTACAGTAGTCATCAATTAGAGTATCAAATTTTAACGGAGAACTTTGGAAATTACCGTAGGATGCAGCTAACAAGCTTCCAGAGCTGAAAGTGGTCGTAGGTATTACAAGTAACAACTTTGTATTCAGTCACCTAGAGAAGGTGAGAACTGTTAAAAAGAAGTAGATGTAAGAAATAGAAACTGACAAAATGCTGAAATGTAGGGTAGTGGCCTTGGTAAACCTGAGTCACGTATTTTCCAAATGCTGATGTTCAGTCAAACAAAGCTGGCACGTGAGGCGATCGACCAAGTCCTGAAGGCACGTCAATTCATGGTAGGCAGAAATTTAATGGCATTTCGATGGACAAACAGGAATTGGATTGCAGTGATTAGATGTCTATCCAACAATTTTAGAGACTTGAACGGGGTCTAGGTTGGGCAGAGAATCTTTCTACGCCCCTCTCCGGGCCGATGTGCAGCGAAAAGCTATAGCCTCTCTAGATTGACCCACGAGGCTTCTGGCGCAGACGGAAGATACACACGACATGTGGCAGCGATAGCAAGATTATCGTAGCGCGTGATGGCGAGTTGGGGGTTTCGTTATCGGTACCTTGACCGAGCCTCATGGGGTTACAGGTGTATGAGAGGGACGAATATCACATTGGTCTAGCTATGCCGATAGGTTAGATGAGGATGATGAGTTCAGTATGGATCCGCTCCAAATATTTCATCTGAATTTAGCCTACAAGAACACCCCTAAAAGCAATCTATGTCCCACAATCATTGGATGCCACGAGAGTGAGTAATAAATTTGAACTTATTTTCCCCAGCTCACACCCCTGAACGAGCGATATATTTCAATATACTTTCCATTACCATGACATATGGTCTGTTGGACTGTATAAATTAGTAATTTTTTTCCATAACTCCGATTCCGGCTGCCCCTCGACTGCCATCCCAATGCTGCACACAAAGGAAAAGTATCGTGTCCCTTTTTATCCTAGCTTTTGTATTCTCTCTTGTATTATACCGGTATTGGTACTGTCAGCTGGCCTCCGTTTTGTATCCCACTATGGGTATGTGTAGATATCCTCCCCGTCTCTTCGATCCAGGTATCGTTCCCACCGGTTTTTACTAGGCCATCTTCCAGAGCTCTAGTGTTGCCCTCGCTCGTCATTTCCATCTGCACTCTCAGCATCCACTTGTTTCGCCATTGCTTGCACAGCTCGGACACGGTAGCCACATCTCCGTACCTGGGTCACACACCATCTGCTCACACTATCGTCAGCTTCACTTCGAGCCTAGCTCCCCGTCCATTGAATCAGCTCGACTTACCATTCCACGCGAGACGAGTAGGTCCTCGCGGCCCTCGGCGTGAAAGCAGGCGCTCGCTCCAAAGTCTGCACATGGCCGAGATGGCCAGGGTGGGTACTGCGTGTTAAGTTTATATTCTCCCCAGGCAGGGACAGGCGAAGCCAGAGATAAGGTGAAGCTGAAAAATAGGATAAGGAGAGCCCGATGATCGAACATCCTGAATGCAGAGTGGTGCGTGATGCGTGGTAAGGGAGTGTAAGATCCAAGATGGTTATCTATTTATTCGACACTGATTATGGACTGGACAAGCAGCCGATATTAATGTCTTATCAATGGTCGAGTATAAGTTTTATTTCGCTTGATAGCTGAATTGGAGGCTGTTGCCCCTTCTTTATAAGTGGAGTGTTGTCAAAAGCTGTATATTATTATAGGTAACTAATGATGATTTTCTGTGGATGTCACGATGAAGCCGACGGTTCGCTGAGGCTTCTGCTCAACAGTCAAAGGCCGCGGAAGGTAAAGGTTCAAGATCCGCTGATCGTCATCTACCCCTGGAAGAGCGTCAGTGACAATCACGCAGAGAAAGAGGCTGCGCAAGGATAGGCCGGAGATGGAAATTGAGGCTGCTTCTAGGAAGCATCAGCATTGGAGTGGACGTGTGGGTCGAAAAGAGACGCGGGAGCCCATCAATATCTCAATCGTGGGGTGTGAAGCGGAAAGAAGTGACATTTCGACGGAGTTAGCTCAGGTCTAGGGAGCCTGTGTGGGAAACGGGCCGCGCGATACTCGCTCGCCACTGGATGTCCTGAGGAACCAAGCAGACTATCATAATTAATCTTCAGACCTCCGAGGGCACGCTCGCGTTGCCCTGTGGGGGAAAGTGGTCACCAGAATGGCGCGTTCCAGGCAAACTCTGAGCCGTAGCAATTTCCCATGCATGAGGGTGGATGAATGATATTGATCCTCCCTCAATCCGCTTCAGAGTTTTGCATGGCTCGCTCCACCGGGCCTCACAGTGACGCTACCTCTGGCGTTGCCTGTGGCTGGCCTCGCCATGGCCCCTCTGGACGACCCCTGCTACTAGACCAGCGATAATGAGGCTCGTTTGATGGGAAGAGGTGCCAAGGGAATCAGTCAGCCCATGCCGAGTCAGGAAGGTGTAAGGTCGGATGATGACAAGGCCTGCTGTATGGCCGTAATGATATCTCGGCGCCGAGAGGTAGATTCGCTAGCGGCATCTCTTGACCATTGCATTTGCCTGTCGAGAGCTTAAGCGAACTCCACACACCTTGACCCCGACGCTGTGGCCATCGATGTCGAGATTGGGCACTAGCCAGGTCAGGACATGGCGTAGACGTCACGTGTACTGGCCAGTCTCCAAGTCCCGCACGGAGCCGTCGAGTTTCACATGGACAATTTCAAACATCAGTGTGGGCAGTGCATATGATGCCGAAAACAATGCGTTGCTCCAGAGCATTCCCACCGTATGCCACTTTGGTGTCTGGCAGTTTGAAGCAACACACTCTTCTGCGGAGCTGACCAGCCGTACGACCATCACTCGAAGAAGTCATGGTGCACAGGGCCCAGACCATATCTGTCAGTGAAAAGTTACCGTGGCTACTCCGCAACTGGTCCGAATCTTTTCGTGATTTCATCTCGTGCCAGACGGTACCCCACGCATCCAGCAGCTCGTCGCCAGCGCTCATATTCACGTCAAGTCTTCCGTCCTTCGCCCACGCATATCCGCCGATCCAGATGTGATGAAGCGCGCCTACTCCCCGGTATCCAGTCGTCAGCAGACGTGAATCGAATACATCGCTCTCTCGACCCGCCGATAGCTACCCCAAATTCGTAGATACGAGCCCCCGCAAAACGACACAATCTCGCTCAGCCTCGCAGGCTTCATGACTCCCTCACGCCCTAGATTTCCGAGGTCCCGGACACCTCGACCGCAGCAACGGTCAGATTTCAGAACTTAGCCGTGATGAGGCCTACCAAAGATCTCGAGACCAGCGACGGTCGGGCATCCTCGTTTTCCCTCACTGCTTTTTCATGTCTCATACCGGCACATCGAAAGGCACAGCGGCGGCTATTTAGGAAAAGCTGTCGATGCCGAATATCATTGCGGGAACAATCTGCCCTGACCTCATCAGGAGTGCACCTGTTGTCCGCAATGATTCATTTTTCCGATATCCTTTCTCCTTCAATGTCAAGCCTCCATTCCCAAATGTGCCCTCTCAAAACCCAGCGCCTTGCCCATTCTGAGTCGGTCAGGGGTTGAGATTCTTGAGGTGAGCAGCCTCGCAACCCTAAACTTAGCTACCAATACCTAGCGTTTTCATCGGTACTCATGTTCCAATTCCCATGTTGTTCTTTAGGTAACTCTAACCCACTACATTTTTTATTGCAGGCAAAGCGGGAACGCATCATTAATTTCCTCCCCTCCCCCTGTGCTCCAGGGCGACGGCATCTTCTACTGTCAATCGCCTACAATTCACGTGCGCCTTACCGGCTATATTTAGATGATGCGGGCTCGTCCGCACCAGACGCATAAGGAAGTGGGGTCTGAATGAAGCACGAGCACTGTAAAATGAAGAATCAAGCCTGTGACGGCTGCCCTGTCACTGCCGCGCGGCTATTTACTGGGCCAGTCGAGGCTGTTATGTAGTGGTAGACGAGAGATCTTCAAGCTTTCCCAGTATTTTTTTTTTTTTTTTTTTTTTTTTTTTTTTTTTTTTTTTTGAATCATTTAATGTGTATTCAGCTATCTAGCTATGACACATGACCGGTGCTATGTATATATGTGGGATGACTCTTTTGACGTTAGAGACACTCACACTCTGGATTTCATTCGCAAATACCACTATGAGGTATGTTCGCTTACACAAACAGTCGACCCTCCTCCGTTAGTACCCACCAAAGGGAATTTCAAAACCTTTGGTTATCCAAGCATGCCTTCGTCATCCATGCATACCAGCGCCGCGAGAAAAGTGGTTGTGTTTTGCCGGATTTGAACCAGCGATCTACTGTCTCAAGTGGGATATGTGTTCAAGCTATCCAGACTCTACTTGGCAGATCGGCCAAGACGATGTACCACCGCACCATCCAACCATGGCGGTGTTTATAGTGTCGTCTGCACTCTCGCAACCGAAGTCTTGGCACGCACAAAGCTCAATTTGTACAAACTCCTTGCCAAAATTCAAAATTCCACGCCCTTCGAGACTGTATCCATCCTCTGCATCATCCTATCAACTTCTCCTGATCCCTCTCACATCCACCTCAAGGAATTGTCTTCCAGATTTGTGCGCCACGCTTTGCTTCCTCTGTCGGGTGTAAATATCGGCGTGGGCGTGTATTTGGTGGTCGAAGCCAGAGAAAGTCGACGAGAGGTGTGATCATTGGAATGAGGATGTACTAGGTCGTACTCGTAGACTTGATGAGGCTTAGGTAGGATTCGATCTTTTTGGGAGCGAAAATTTGACGTGGTGGAGTAATTCGAATTTTTGCCTCGTGGGCCAACTTCTTTGACATTGCGAAATTTGACTGAACTTGGCTCTGGGAGAATATTTCACTCCCAGGTTCGTAGAGGACACCGCGTACAGGTGTTCAGTCTTGCCCTCCAGCTTTCCCAGTAGTACATACTCACGGTAGAGAAAGGGGTAGAAGTGCCTGTAGATTGTCCGGGGTAGAGATATCACCGAACACCGACAACGAGATGCAGTGGACACGAATAGAGTTTCTTCATTCGCATCGAGCAGTAGGGGACAAGGTTGACCTTTCCCCGTCACGAACCTCACAATATCCGGGGCACAAAGGAATTGATCAAATTAAAAGTAATGACGTGTAACTATCAACAAAATACTGTAAATCCGACCGGTAACTTTGATGCACCAGGCATGGTTATGAGTTTGAGGGTAAAGATATTCGACTGGCACACCTCAATCTCGGGAATGAATCAGAAGGTCAACCCGAAATCTGAAAAATTACAAGCAGGGCCTTTACGACACGACACGACGTCTTCCGTTTGCCAGGATCATAGCTCGGAGATAGAAATCGTAGCGGGTCAAAAGGTATCATAAAAAATATATTGGCTTTGGTAGAGATAACACACTGCAATCGATGGGCTCGACAGATTTGAAGGCATGCCGGAGGGATAATAGATACAACTCGACAAATCCGATGAGCAATCCCTATTAGGCTGACTCGCAGAGAAAGATCATGACCAGCCCCGGCTGCTCTAGGTGTAGACTCACGTCAAAAAAGCTTGTGTCACTGTTGATAAACTGCTCTGTCTGGTGTTAGACTGACGATCTCTGAGCTTGGTGTGTAAACAGCATAGAGCACGGCTACGAAAAACAGAGTTCTATCACCTCATCAGTAGACACTTACCATATTTCTACCGGATATGGAGTGTTCTTTTGACCGTTCAATTATCGTAAATTGGTGATTGCTGTATCTCTACCATTTATAAAATTAATCAAGTGAGATGAATGCTTTTCTAGCTCTGCAAACCGTATAAGCATTATTATCGAGCTAACCACGATCAGATCAGATGGTAGGGTCGAAGTCTTACTCATTGCCCACTCTTAGTTATGGAGGAAAAGCTCTCCGATGAGATTCCGGAACATATCCAGCATTAGATACGGCGATGGTGGATTGGATCAAGTTAACCTCTAATTTTACAAAGGGAGATTTAGATGAAATGCGCACCTCATGTGGTCCCAGTGTCTAGGCCCCACCTGGCTGGTCCTGCAGGTTTTTGAAACTTATTCCCGCGCACGCAGTTTCCATTGCTACCTTTTTTTTGGTAGAAGATTCTATGGGTAAACACTGAGCTGAATAGCTACTCATCACGGGCAATATATCAATGATTTTTCAAGGGACATTAGAGGCAAGGAGCACTGTATAAAGTGTTACCTCGATTAGAGAGGAGCCCAATGGCAAGATAGTCTATGACTCAAGTAATGTTGTAAAACACATACATACACTTTAACTCGACGATGCCATTTCTCTGGGTGAGGTGCGATGTTTGTAGTCGCTGTGTGTGTGTGAGTGTCAAGGCCGAAGAAAAAGGCTAGAACATATTTTGGAGTACTCCGAGCGTGGACTGTGAAGAAAAGGATCCTCCTTGACCATCCAAGGCGCCCGGCTCCCTACTGCATCATTGCACGAGGGGTCGCATGCTATTATGGAAGTGCCATGTGTTCTGTAGACTTTTGCGCTGAGTATAAAAACGCACTATTGATTGAACATATGCGTTATAAATAATCCCGTATACTCACACAATGGACCGCAGTAGAATAGTTGAGAATGGAGATATTTTCCCCCGGCCTTCCATGAAACCTCCTTGACATCAGCTTGTCCATGACTGTCCCGTAAAATATCGCACCCGTCATAATTTTATGAACAAAATCTAAGCTCAATTAAGTCGAATCAACGCTTGACTTTATGGTGAGAAAGCTAAATGTGTAAATTAAAGCGCAGATGTGAAACTAATCAATCCGTTATGATAGAGCTCTGACTCGACCACTAATCCAAATCGCTATGGCCTCGTCGGAGTAAGGCCCGGTAATATCTTAATTTGAAGCCTTTTGATTTCGTGCTCATCTTTTCGATGAGGGCAGGCCCACGGCTTTTATTATGGTATCTGACAAGATAAAAGACTCTGATAGCTATGAGCCGTGCTCGCTCTGATTCGATGCGTAGATTCCGGGGGACAATGCGAAGGCCAGACAAAATGATTGAATGGCGATGAGGTGAAGGAATAGTTGTCTCGAGTAGCGATGGAGAGAATATCGGGAAGTTGCGAGAGGATTAGAAATAGTTGATCAGGCTCGACCGCCTGAACAGTTTCACGTATACAGTAGATTAATGCTTCCGCATAAATCGTTACCGATGTTCGGTCAACCTCCGCCGGACCGTTTCCACCGCTCTTGCTTCTCTTCTCCACCACTCCGACAAGTTACAGATTTCCATGGCAGCGCTACATACTTCTCCTTGCCTGCATTGTAGAGCAGCAAAACCAAAAGGAAGAGAGATGCTGGTGAGGCAGGAATCGCTGAGCTGCTTCAGCCCCCAGTCCTTTATCTGCCGCTCGTTGGCCGACAGATAGCCGGCTGAGACAGTTTGGACGCAAGACCCAACATTCTATACAACGCTGCCAACGGTTCTCGAGGCGAAGCAAGACACGCTTCATTATCGGCGAAGGCCGGACGTTGCAACTTCTATGCGACGGCAGGTCAAGCATACTCTGAATGGGCTGAGTTCGGCGCACTATCTCATGGTAGATTTCAGGTGTAAGTGGGGGGGTCAGATGCAGAGTCGACGTCTGGATTCATCCGAATTACGAGCCTCAGGCCGAAAGAATGCGAGTGGGACCAGGTGCGCATTGACACTTACAGGCGCGCCAGCTGAAGCATCCCCCATTCCCCAAAGAGTTGCTCTCCCCCACCAGTCTCAAGCTCATCCAGTACAAGTCCAATGGGCCGCTGCCACTCGTAGAGTGATCATGTCATTCAGCCAAACGTGGTTTAGCAATTCTTGTGAGACCCGCCCATCTTAACGAGTACGCCATGCCTTAGGCGCGCGCTTCCCTCGCAGATGGTGCGCTGATCTTGGTTCTTTGTGCTTGAGGGCAGCAGCGCGCCCAAAAGACTGCCCTGGCCGCACGACTGCTGGCGAGAGAAGCGGGGCACTGCTCTCTATGCCAAAGTCAATCTCGACACGAAGACACGCATCTAGAAAGGGTGTTGTTGACAGGATAGCAGGGATAAGGAATCCACCATTGCATGGAGACGCCTGCAACCCCCTAACTTTAGCTCAACATTATCCGCCGAGCCAACGCACACTGATCGTCGCGAGCAGCGTTCCCAGGGCGAGGAAGGGATCATCAGACCTGTATATATACTTTCGTATATCTAAGCCCTCTACGCACCCCAGCCTTAGACCGCACGTTCGTAAGAAGGACACCCTGCATCATTACTTCATATTCTTCTGCCGATTCATATACCATTCAAGATTTTCTCTGCCTTAAACACTAAGCATAATAATTGCGAACCTCGGATGTTCGTTCAGCCCACAATAAGTGTCGAATAAATAGATAACCATCTTGGACCCAACACTCCCTCAACTGCCTCACGCATCACTCCGCATTCAGGATGTTCGATCATCGGGCTCTCCTTATCCTATTTTTCAGCTTCACCTTATCTCTGGCTTCGCCTGTCCCTGCCTGGGGAGAATATAAACTTAACACGCAGTACCCACCCTGGCCATCTCGGCCATGTGCAGACTTTGGAGCGAGCGCCTGCTTTCACGCCGAGGGCCGCGAGGACCTACTCGTCTCGCGTGGAATGGTAAGTCGAGCTGATTTAATGGACGGGGAGCTAGGCTCGAAGTGAAGCTGACGATAGTGTGAGCAGATGGTGTGTGACCCAGGTACGGAGATGTGGCTACCGTGTCCGAGCTGTGCAAGCAATGGCGAAACAAGTGGATGCTGAGAGTGCAGATGGAAATGACGAGCGAGGGCAACACTAGAGCTCTGGAAGATGGCCTAGTAAAAACCGGTGGGAACGATACCTGGATCGAAGAGACGGGGAGGATATCTACACATACCCATAGTGGGATACAAAACGGAGGCCAGCTGACAGTACCAATACCGGTATAATACAAGAGAGAATACAAAGGCTAGGATAAAAAGGGACACGATACTTTTCTTTGTGTGCAGCATTGGGAAGGCGGTAGGGTAAGGAACCACGGGAATCGGAGTCAAGGACACAAATCAGGAAAATGATTAATCGAGCTGCACCACCTGCTATAGCTCTTAATAAAATTATAATATCGATACGAGTAATTGTCGTCTGAACTGACAAAACTAAATAATACACATTTTAATAGATGGACAGTCCTCTCGCATTGCCAAATCCAACAACATGTTGGAATTAATTTTTGGTTTGGTTCAACTTTATGACAGTGAGTGACCCGTGCACAGGCAAAATGACTGGTAAGTAGAAACACTATAGTTCTCAGCGGTATTCTCTGCAAATATAATAGCGGAGTACTTTTCTTCAGCTAGGAATCAGACAAGATTAGCATTGTAAACCAGACAAGCCCTTGAAGCAAAAATGTACCAGAATCAACTGCATCAAGCTTTAGCCCCCAACCGAGCCAGATCCCGGCCAACTAATAGAGTCTATAAGCAGGACCTAGGAATTCTTTTATTCGACTAAAACTCTTATCGATTCTGTCATTGGCCTCCAAATATTGGCCATCAACATTCTGTATATACGCAGAATGCTTCAAACCATGGCGCACAAATACACTGGGGCAAAATATAAGGGTCGAATTTAAGTAAGATCAGGATAGTCAAGCTGACACCAAGGATGAATACAGTATTGGAAGGGGCAATCTTCGACAATAAAGAGTTTTCAAATTGAGAAGCATTATACCTGATACTGATTCATTTCAAAGAGAGCCAGCGATACAATAAATGAGTAAGTGGTTGGATGGTGTAGTTGTGTGTTATCTAGGATGATTTCACAAGCAAGATGTAGTTAGCTTGAACACTTTTCATATTTGAAGTGTGAGATCCCTAGCTTAAATCCACCAAGACTTCAACACATTTCTCGCTGCGCTCATGCATAGGACGTCGAACTTTTAATAGGAAAACCAAAGCTAAAGAACCTAAACTATTGATGGATACCTAGGCACTAGGGCTGCCTGTATTGATAATCAATATTCATTGATGTGTTCTCAGCAAATGAGATCCAGAGTATGATATATTGTCGGGTCAACAGAGTCAATAAATTATTCACAAGACACCGAGTCATCTATCATAGTTGCATAGCAGGATACATATCGAAGGATCGAAAGATAAATGATCAGTTGTCACCTTAGCTTTTGGGGCACTAAACATCTAGATTTCATTCGCTAATATACGATTCAGCTTGTCAATATAAGTTATGTGAGCCACATTATGGCTAGAGAAGTTAGAGATAGAGTTGATTTATTTTCCAATTCCACCATGGCGCTTCCATTTGAGATTTCAGCCACTATGAGTCGCTCTCAAAGCCTACAACTGCCTTGATCAGGACACCAGCAAAAGCTACATCAAAATTGCGCTAAATACTGAACATCGCAGAAGTTTCTGCTAAGTTTTGTTGCTTGATTAGGCTCCGTGCGTGATAGAATTAACAAACGTGATATATTCAGAATATGCTTTATGGAAACATATTATACATGTAGAGATGTAACGATAGACTCACATATCACACCCACTCACCGTGAACAATAGCGAAACACGTGGAAACTTCTCACATAAATTCAAAGGATCGACTAACTGACAAAATGGAACCAATGCCAGTTAATATAAACCAATGCCACTGATGCATATTTTTCAAGACCTCCGGGAACCTTTAAGGACAATTATCCAAAATCTAGAGAAAAAAACGACCGGAAAGAGTCGCTTTTCTTGCTCCTCTCGTGAATAGAACCTCAAGATTCATGCGATAAGAACGAGTTTACGTCTTGATACAAAAAGAAATACATGAGAAAGTACGGCTAAATGGCTTTTCGATACCATAGGTCGTGAGAAATTGTAACTTCGATCCCGCAAATTTGAATATGAATATACTCAAAGCCACTTGGTCGAGAAGATATATGAAGACTGCTAGCCTATGCGATTCAACGCAGGCACATCGATATTTACAGCATTATGATGCGGAAGCAATAGAGATAGGTTGTTGCCCCATATGTATAGCACCGTTGACAATGAGCTCGCCTTTGAATGATCGGGACTCACCTACAATAAAATTATAGAGGATTTTTGTAAGAGTGTCGTGCGTATGGATATGGCATATATGGGAGTAGCTTGAATATTCAACTAATAACAAAATTACCTTGGGACATATAATTATCCATGCTTTCTTCACCTTAGGTATCGTGTTGTTACTGCTAGGTTTGACTGCTATCCAAAGCAGTGACCAGCGGTCACAATTAAAAAAGTAGATATTAAAGAGTGTTTAATGAGTAGAAGTATTAATAGCCTGCAAGAATCAGTTACTGATATTTCAAGTCGTACTAGGCTCTAATATAGTATGCGTCTGAGGATTAATATGTAGTCTCTATTCCACAGTTTGGCAAACTGTTATCAACTATTTAGGCGCTCTTGCTCTTTTCTACTCCATCTATCCTTAGTCTTACTTTCAATATTGCATTACAGGCCCTTCTCGCATCTACGAATATGGCTATTTTATTGCACACTTACGGAGACACAAGCTTACTAGCTCCTATATGTGTAAATCAAGCGACTGAGCTATTTCAATAGATTCTACCAAACTAGACGCTCACTTAGAGCTCGGAAACCCCTGAAACTTAAGCCGGCTCAGTCAGATCGAGGAATTTCTATAACAGATCACTAATTGTGTCATACTTGAAAATAGGACAAACATCTCAAGCTACGGCTCGGATTTAATGAGCTTCGAGTGATGTAGTCAGCAAAACCTTAATTAAATCCAGCATGCCAGGTAATGACTAAAAGATATACATCTAAGGCGCTCTGAAACTGAAGCGAACTAAGCTAACAAGGCGCAACGATAATTGGATCAATCACCAGTCTTGGCCATAATAAATGACAGCATAGTCTACCAAGGCTACTGATCTACCTTGGAGGAAGAGAAGTCATATGAAATGTATCCATCGCAAGCGAGGTCTATTACTATTAATGTACTAGACGCCGTCGTTCTGGTAAAACACGAAGCAATATAAATTGGGCGCCGTCACGAAGTCGGTGAATAAAGTCAATTAACTGGTATCCTGAAATACATATAACATTTTATCTCCTCCTCTCTCCTCCCTCTTCCTCTACTCCAAGTGTCTCGCTAATGAGCTAATTCAGATCCCTATCAGAGTCCTAATAACATCCTTAATACCGCAATTATTCATAACCAATTCATACCGCCCAAATATGATCCTTTTACCGACACGTCGAGAATAATTAAAAGACAAGAAAATGGCCTTCATGCACTGTGTGATGACTACTCTGTCTGAATTAACCCATAATATCTACTCCAAGGAATATTCCCTAGCCTTACAGCGAAGTTGATGACCCTTAAATCGAGAGTACCCAAAATTAGTGGAACGAAGGGAGTCGAATCGAATAGACTTGCAGAGCTCAAGAAGTATAAAAGGTTATGAGGTTGCAGTGATGGAAGGATTGTATTCAATTATAGAATTTACGGATGAGGACCGATATGGTGATCGATATATAGGTAGAAAAATAGATGCAAGAAAACAAATGTATAACTACAACTAAACGGGCAGGCAGGCCTCTATTGTTTAATAATACTTGGTTGCCCAGTAACAGTCAGACCTATTGAGGTTATAAGTTCCTAGGATGATACGGTGGTTAAATGTGGATGTACGAAAATCGTAGGTCAACAGTGTCTCTGGATTTCTGCTATATCTTCTATACAGGGAAATCTTAAGACGGTACATAACTGTCTTCTAAAATTACAGGATGTGTCTAGTATATACAGATTTGTAGCTTAGCGTGCATTATGCATAAAGACTGGGTACACGTGACAAATTATAATACAATGTTGTTGATTAGGGATCCTCACTATGATTATCGAGCAATAGAATGGTAAACAACAACGTAACCATGGTTACACAGGCGTTGAGTATCTCACGTGACTATATCGACATCACGCCATGTCCATAACAAGAAGTTATCATGATGTCACTGAAGACGCAAAAATGTTTCATGGAAAGCTCATCTTTGATAGGATCAAATGGTTATTGAAGCATAGGAAAGTTTCTGTCAAGAAACCGTAAAACCTATTGCTGTGGAACGCTGCGAACATTAACTTGATACAGTCGGCAAAGTCAGTTTCCTCATCTTCCCGCGGTGCTGGCGCAGTCGCTCAGTATGTTCTGCATATCTAGGATAGCCGAGAAGAAGCACGTCCAGGTTAAAGCTAAAAGCAAGTACAAGTAGATCTAAATTTGATGACTTCTCATCATTGTGTTATGACTGAGCTGAGTATAATACAGGTTACTAAGAAAAAGTTGTATTTGGACCTTTGACTAAGATATGTAAGTAGAAGAATCGACAAAGAGGTAGCAATTGCTGGGAACTTGAGATGAGCGAAGCCACAGCTCCACCTTAGTTCCGTCCACGTTGGCCTTATTAAATCTCACGTGATCCTGGGCTCTTCTACCAGCCGACCACCAAATGCCCTGGCACGTGCAAGCGTGACACATGTTGGTCGTACCATCGTCGCCCGAGTCGTTCAATTCAATTTTGCCACATATTACCTCACCCAAGCGACTGTACAAGGAGCTGCTAAAATTGCAATCGGTAACTTCACTTATCAATGACTGACTGTCTCCGGCCACGAAATTACGACGCTACATATACTGGCAAGGACGAAAGTAGGCAAAGATATACAAAGCCCAGTTTTTGGCTTACAGAGGATTGCAATAATGGAGCTCTGACTCTTGAGGGAGGACAGGAGACTGATATGTGGAGCGAAAGG